CTTATTAAGAAACTATAAGAGTCCTATCAATTATGTACATGGGTCTGACAGGAAGTGTCTTAACATAACCTAACCCGTGGCCGCAGCGCTCGGCCCCCTAGCCACTCTGAGCACTCGCTTTCTTTATTTTATGCAATCTTTATCATATGTAAAAGCATTTGATTTGGACGTAAAGTAATTGATTATAGATAAAGTCGCTTTTGTCATCTAGGTTATTTTGAGGGGTCTCGAGCTTTTAAAGCCCGTTTTACTTTCTTTTTAAAAACGCTTAAAAATGCCATATTTTTATGTTAAAACAGTTTCATTCATCCATTGGTAATTTCCTAGAGAGCAATATTTGGACCCCCCCTCCTATTAAGTATGTTCATGGATCTTAAATGTAAGACATGTGGCCGCAGCGCTCGGCCCATAAAGTGTCTTAACTTAACCTAACTCGTGGCCTCAGCGCTCGGCCCCCTAGCCTGTCCTAGCCCCAGCGTGCGGCCCAGAAAGTGTCTTAACCTAACCTAACCCTAAATAAATACTAATTTAATTGAAAAAGTGGTCATGTACAAAATTGATAGGNCCCAATTTATTATTTCTATTTTAGGGAAAACTAATAGTCCAAGTTTTGGAACTAATGTCTCCTAATAAAATCATCTTTTTTTTCGAGGATTTATCTCCTTTTTCTTTCTTACAACTTATTTTTATTTTTTGTCTTTTTTCAGAATCTAAGATGAGTGGATCGGTGGCAGTAGTAAACGATCAAAACCGTTATATTTTTGGTATAACTGGTACTGTTAAAGAAATAATATATCCTAGCAAAGCTATTCTTGGCTTCAAATACAACGGGAAGGAGGAGAAAGCCATTTTACTAGTTCACAAGTTCCTAATTGACGGCTGTAACGTCGATGAACAGAAACTTATGAGTGATCTACTTAAAATCGGCGACGTTCTGGAGTTTGACGGCCATATTTACGACAAGGGGGGCCAGGGTGCTGGCAAAGATCGGTGTAATTACTACGCTATGAGGGCCTGGAAGGCGAGCCAATCTAAACTTGTTTCTAAACAACAAATGTTGACAAATAAAGCTGCCCGGCCTCCGGTAATTGTCGGCACTGGGTTCATTTCAGAAGTCTTTCCAAGGAAATTTATCATACACACATATTCAAAATTAATCATTTCCATTGATGTTTGTTAGTTTTTAGTCTCTCCCCTTTTCTTTCTCCTTGTTAATTTTTAACTACACATATTGCACTTACCTAACATTTGTAGAAGGGTCTCTGTTTTACCCTCTAATGACCAAATTCGATGATTAAATCGTTACGTAAGGCAATGCCAGATTCACAATATTACCCTCAAACGCTTTTTTCGATCAAGTATGAATTAGATATCAATGTTTATATGTTTTAAGACAGATTATTTTCATTCGCGGTTTCTCTACTAAAGAAACTTTCGCACTTCTACTGCAATCAGAATCAGGCACTTTTAATGTTTAAAAACGACAACATCTTCAACATTATTGAGATAAAGATTCTAAGAGTACCATTGTCCCTCAAACTTGCGCCAACGTATTGATAACTAAAAATTATATCTTTAATAATTTCTATTGGTTGAGATTTGTCCCCTCTCTTCTTTCCCAGAAATATCTGTTTTTGCAACCGAAATTCTCGCCAGTATGAATAAATTTTTAGGAAGGGAGTATTAACCTTTGATAAAGACGGACACGAAGAGCGTGTTCTATTTCTTGCAAGTAAATTTTATCTTTTCGAGAAACGTCTCGGGACAAAACAAGCTTTAGACCAGGTTAGTTCCTGATCCTGATCCTGATCCTGATCCTGATCCTGATCCTGATCCTGATCCTGAAGGGAATTTCCTAATCCCTGTTTATTAGTTTTAACTTATAAACCCTGATTAAAATCATTTAATTTCCTTGGATCCCGATATCTGATCCAGGATCTAAGATTTTAAAATTTGAAAACCACCCCAATTTTTGTTTTTCACATCAATAAATAATCCCAAAATGATCTGTAGATCGTGACTGATGGAGACCCAGTACAATTTGAAGCTGTTCCCCAGGATTCTACAGATAATCCACACTTTTGCTCTTGGTTCGCCAGCTTAGTCTGGAAAGGTTAGACAATAGGGGTTTAAAAATCATTTCTCCCTCAGATTAGTCTAGAAAGGTTGAAAACAGGGGTGTAAAAATCATTGATTCCTCAGATTAGCCTAGAAAGGTTGAAAACAGGGGTGTAAAAATCATTGATTCCTCAGATTAGTCTAGAAAGGTTGAAAACAGGGGTGTAAAAATCATTTCTCCCTCAGATTAGTCTAGAAAGGTTGAAAACAGGGGTGTAAAAATCATTGATTCCTCAGATTAGTCTAGAAAGGTTGAAAAATTTGAACATTTTCCTCTAACTTTTTCCTCACTTTCTTTTAGGGTTTTTTTTTATGGCGAATTGGGAGTAAGAAGGGCCATGCAATACTGGATTTGGTTCAGAAAAGAGCAAAGAAATTTGATTTTTCAGATTTAGTGATAACATATTAAATTCAATTCTTCTAGTTATTGGAGTGTAAGAAAGCACATGGATATTGAGAAAAAGTGACCGTATAATACATAAAAAAGACATAAATCAATCGAAGGAAGAGTTTGAAAGAAAAATTATTTCTATTTTTATGTTTTAGGTAAAAAACCGTTTGAAGAAAACGGTACCAATGTAACTAGTGGAGCTAGTGGTAGACGAGGCTCTATTGGATCCACAGGTAAAAGANGGGGGGGGGGCATAGTTTAAAAAACAAATTTTTTAAAGTTTTTATTATATGAAGGCATAAACCGTACCAAAAACACTAAGTATTGTAAAAATTTGTATTTTTCTGGGGAAAAGTTCCGAACCCTCGCTCAAAGTGTCAGGTTTGAAACTTTCGCCCTTTACATTCGTAAACTTGGTCAACGGTCGTACATTTCAACATTAGAAAAATATCTGAAAGTTACTGCTAATCTATTTTTTAAAGTGAACTTTCATGGAAAAATGTTGACGCCCGATTCACATCGGAACCTTAAACGCCTTGTCTAAGCAAGAAAAAATTAGATATCCAAGTTTGGAGAACTGATTGTTTTCAAAAGCGGTTTCTCTTTTCAAAAGTGACTAGCGCATTCCTGCTGCAGAAAATTATCAGATAAACCTTGATAACGGCAATATCTTTGCGCGCATAGTAGGTCACTTGATATTACACTTACAGTCCCTTTAAGTTACATCTAAAAGAGTCACGTTTTAGACAAAAAAAAATCGATTCGACAATTAATTTGAGTTTTATATGAAAAATACGCCTTAGAATTTGTAAGCTATCAAAGTAAAAATATAATCTTAAAAGCAGTGCTTAGGAACCATTTAATTTTGATGCGGATCCGGATCCTGGATCCGCACTGGAAAAAAATGGATCCGGCTCCAGGTCATTTCTTTAAGATTTACTGAATTTTTTTAACAAAAAATAATTTTCAAATTTTTTGTTTTATTTTTTTTCGCTTGTTTTTATCCTAAAACCATTCAGAAATGAGGAAATTTTTATAATCTCTCTTCTTTCAAAAGTTCAGAGGGGTTTAGGAGTAAATAAGTTTTTTTTTAAATTCAGTGATGGTGATGGACCAAACCTCTGTAGAGTAAAAAAGTAGATGTTAGTTCCACATTTATTGAAAATATATTTCGGTCTGGGTTGACCCTCGTCAGTTCTGACGATTTAATAACCATCAAAATCGATTAAAAAAATTTAAAAAAATGTAATAATCACAAGAATATAAACAAACAAAAAGATTATTCAAAATAAAAATTTGGGCTGTCAAATGGTAGGAAGCCAAAATCTTGCGGATTAAACGGATCCGGATCCTAAGCACTGCTTAAAAGAATCATTAAAAATATTATTCTGTGTCAAGAAGAGCGGGGGAAGGCAGTTCAAAAGGCGCCAATAATGAAAAATTGCACTATTTAACGAGAAAATTGCAAAATAGAATTTTTTGAGAAAATCTGTAACGCTCAAGTAATGACTGTTAAAATTGTGACTGTTCTCATATTACCTTATTCTTTACATAATACCCCAATCAATTTGTTTCGGTGCCCACAATGCGTAAAAGGATGTAAAATTTTCTTTGTATAATGTAAAGCCGTATGTTAACTGAACACACAATTCATTGATCTTTAATAAACTACTAAAAATACTTAAAGGTATCATCTTTCGCGTATTGCGGCAGGATTATTAAAAATTGCAATTTCAATGCAATAAATTTATTATTTAAAAACGTTGTAACTGCTGAAATGCTGTGGCATGCAATACCGAACGGTTGTGGCTCATGGCTGCCGGAAGACAAAAAAGCTAATAAAATGAAGAAAAAAGGAAAAAAGGGAAGGGAAGAGAAAAGGGGGAAGAGGGAAGGCGAAAATGGGCTAAAGGAAGGGAAAAAGTGCAAGAAGGAATGAAAAGGGGAAGAGGGAAGGGAGAAAACCACAAAAAAATATATATATAAAAATAGTATCAGAAATGCTAAAAAAAACTCAGGGGGACCTTAAAGTTGACCTTTAAAGGCACCAAAACGCTCCATTATAATACTAAATTCCCAAAAATTATCCCCCCCCCCCCCCGCCGCAGCAAACTTCTGCGAAGTTTTTGCGGGCTTCAGAAACCTGTAAAATATACCTGTTTTGTAAGTTCTGGATTTGGGGAAAAAATATTATTCTGCAAAGGGAAGGGGGGCAAAAATATATTAGTCTCACAACAAATATACACCCCTGGTTTTACTATTGAAAGGTTTTGGAGTTTGAAATTGTGAGAAACATTGATATAATTCATTAAAATTTACGAAATTTGCCGCTTTTTAATTCCGTTTTTTAGTTCGTTTTTCATGAACAGTTCTTTTCTTTCTTTATCGATTTGAAATTGATCAGCTTTTTTGTCTAATGACGGAAGTTTCCGTTAATTTTCAAAACTGCCACTCGTTAACCATAACTGTTCTAGAGTCTCAATAGGGTTTACCTCAAATACTAAAAAAAATGGCTATAAACCCTAGCTAGGTACAGGTATGGAGGTTTCTTATTCATTGAAACTCAAATGTTTGGAGCTTACTATTGCGAGTTAGGTCCAATTTAGTTTTGGGGTCAAAATACCAATATTCGAATTTTGCCTAGTCATATTTTCAAAATTAAATTATTTACCATCCAAGAACTAACAAGTGTGCGAGGTTCTTACAAAGTTTAGACCTGTTAAAGAATTTTTATGCAAATCAAAATGGAATTGATAATCATTTATTTTGTTTTGTAAGTGATTTTCTCAATATTTTATCTAAATAGAAATTAAAAAGAACGATCATCAGTATTTTTCTCATATTTTAAGTGGAATTTTCCTCCCCGCTGAAAATGACGTATATCTATATATTTAATGGCGAACCGAGAGAGAAAATGTTTTAAGAGAAGATCGATAAATTCTTGAGATGGTCTGAAGAAGGCTTTTTTCATACAAAGTAGATTAGATCCTAAAATACAATAAATGTATTTCTACCAAAATTTTCCTTCGAGAGAATATTTTTTTCGCCAAAGATAAAAATCAGCAAGAACTTCAGAAAACATGAATATTTTGCAACAAAGAATCCACTTTGAGGATGCCTGCGTAGTAAGAATGCAAATTGAGGTCGCATAAGTGAGGATGTAGGGTAACAAAGACTAAAAATTCGAATATTTTTTTTCTAAAATCTAAATTTTTCTCTGAACTGATTCTTAAAAATTACACGGGCAACGCCGGGTACTTTAGCTATTATGTAATGAACAGGTTAGGAACCCAGCTTTGTTTGGAAACTTAGCTTTTAAACCAAGGAAAAAACATTCCCGTGGTTTTACTGATGTCCAAATGTGAGGCAAACTAATATGCAGATTTTTTTTTCTAAAATCTAAATTTTTTTCTGAACTGATTCTTAAAAATTACACGGGCAACGCCGGGTACTTTAGCTATTATGTAATGAACAGGTTAGGAACCCAGATTTGTTTGGAAACTTAGTTTTTAAACCAAGGAAAAAAAATTCCCGTGGTTTTACTGATGTCCAAATGTGAGGCAAACTAATATGCAGACAAACAGAGATATCTTCTTTATATCATCACAAAACTTATCAAACTACAAAACTTATCAAACTACAAAACTTATCAAAACAAAACTTATCAACTGCAAAACTTATCAAACTACAAAACATATCAATAAAATTCATGAATCTAAATTTTCAAATTATGGAAATGTTTCAACAATTTTTTAAAAATTCGCGAATTTTACTAGAAAATTAGGTAAAAACTCAGTTTTCCAGCCCCTTTCCACCGAGAGGCGGGCTACTTTTGTTCTCTCACAGAAGGGTACAAACTTACTTAAGGATGATGAAAATCATCTGTACAACAAATACAAAGAGAACAAGAACAAGTTTTTTTGCGATATTTTTAGAACCGTTGATGGCACGGTCCCCAAATTTTGTGAATTTTCCTTTACAGTCATAAGACATGTTTTAGCAAAAAAAAATCAAAGCCTTAAGTGAACTGTATAATTTCCCTAATAATGCCTAATAAAGACTTTTTGAAATAAAATCAGTAAAAATTACATTAAAAAAACTTTTTCGGGCCGCATTTTGACAGTCAGGCAGTTAACTTAGCGGTTTGATTTTTTGATACAAAAAGTTTCATGACTGTTGAAGAAAAATATAAAAAATTAGGAGACCATTGTCATATACTGTTAAAAAAATCGTCAAAAACCCCAGAAGAAGCAGATTAATGTCTTGAAACGAAATTTTTGTTTAATTTAAGACCTGTAAATGCACTTGATTTCTACAATTTCTTAAAAATTGATTTGCTCAAAATTCTCTAGGTGGCATTTTCTGAAATTAAGAATATAACTCAGTAGCTTTCAATTAAACATAATCCAAAGAAAAAGTTTAGGTGTTTTGACTTGAAACCTGATGGTCCATTGTCAGCAGTGTGTCACACTTTTTATTACTTTTTACTTTTTTCCCCGTTTGGTCAAATTTTGATTTAAGGATATACTCCATTATACAATACATACGCCCGTTTCTTAGGATTTCTTATTTTGTGATGTCCCATAATACATGTACATTGTACAATTAGGTCCATCTTTTTATGCTAAGTTCATTTGTGAAGCAAACATTTTCATTACCAATCATTAAAACTTATCATTTTGTCTTATATTAATATCAGGACTTTTTGAAACCGTTATGGAAACATGGCTGTCTCTAAAATGCAGTACATAATGTTTGTTTACATATCAAGATTGGGCGGGTCCATGAATGCAGTACATAATGTTTATTTACAAATCAAGAATGGGCGAGGTCGATGAATGTAGTACATAATGTTTGTTTATATATTAAGGTTGGGCGAGGGCGGAGGATATATTACTTAAATACTAGATGCAGTGCATAATATTTGTATACATATTACATATTAAGGTTAGGAGAGGTATAGGATACATTGCTTGAATACTAAATGCAGTACATATTGTTTGTTTACATGCGAGGTCAATCAATATTGAATACAGTACACAGTGTTTGTTTACATATTAAGGTTGGGCAAGGGCGAGGATATATTTCTTGAATACTAAATGCAGTACATAATGTTTGTTTACATATTAGGTTAGGAGGGGTAGAGGATACATTGCTTGAATACAAAATGCAGTACATATTGTTTGTTTACATGCGAGGTCAAAGAATATTGAATACAGTACATAGTGTTTGTTTAAATATTAAGGTAGGGCGAGGAGATATTTCTTGAATACTAAATGAAGTACATAATGTTTGTTTACATTTAAAGGTTGGGCGAGGTCGAGGATATATTGCTCGTATACTAAATGAGAACTGTGGATTAATATGGTGGTATCTTCAACCAAACCACCTTCAATCTGTCTGGTTTAATCATGCTGCTGTTACCAACAGTCTTTCAAATACAGACCTTAGGGACATTTTCAAAATAGGTAATAAAAAAACATTGGAAAATAGAATCCCAATCCTCAAATTTGGCTCCCTGGGTCCTAAACCGCCATCTATTGATTCCCAGAAATTAAGATACAATGTTTAAATTTGACAAAATACCAGAAAAAATTGTTTCACAAAAACAATATCAGAATTGATCATAAAACCGCCATTAATGTTCTCAGAAGTTTTTTTTTTAAAGTGGCGTGTCTGATTCACAACGACACCCTTAAAAACTTTGGCTGATCACTAATGCATGAGATATTTATCATCTTCTGTCTTCAAGTTAGAAGTAACACGAAGATTTCTTTCTCATTTTTTATCAGATACAGGTTTAAAGGGTTGATTGTGAATCGGACATGGCCATGTTTAAATGGAAATTTCTAGAATAGTCCTTTCAACCATTTCTTGTATTTTCAGGAGATGCAGTGAGGTTTACTGCGGCTCGGAGTAGCGAGGCTCCGACCTCTTGGGTCGCCAGAGAGGTCGTCGTAGACCAGGTGGCCTCCGGCATCTTTGCGTAGAGTTCATCGGACACCATTTTAAACATGATTATTTGAATATCTTCCGGAGAAACATCTTTATTTTTAGTATCATTGGAAAATTGGCCCCGGGGAAAATACCTCTTTTTACCAATATTTGATAGAAAACTGTTTCTTTTAGTTGATGTTTAATTGATATCATTAAAAAAAAGTAAATGTTAACATCTTGATAAAAAAAATTTACTTTTAACATCAAAAGAGAAAAATGTGTTCAATCCTATATACCCCCC